TGTAGGGAATGGAGACTTGCTGTATCCTTCTAGGTTAGGATTTTCTTAATGTAAAGACGTCGTTAATGGTTGTAGATTTTGTGTAGCCAACTTCTTCCCCACTGTCCTTGCATGCCCCAGTGCTGGTGGTGGTATGTTGGGGACAGAGGATGCAGGCTGGGGTAGGGCACCATGCTGCTTGGGGAACTATAATCCACTTCAACATCTTTTTTTTTTTTTTTTCCCCTTCCCACTTTACTGAGTGGACGTAAACCTGGAAAAGCATAAAATCTGGCCTACCGTTTTCTGTGTTGGGAATGAACAGCTTTGTCCATTGTAAGTCTTGGGTTTGGGAATAACTTTGAGAGGTTGTAGGAGTGCCGACAGTTTTATACATCTTGTATCTGGAGAGCAGAACCCTCTAAGCTTGTAATAAAGGAGTGACACACAGGGGATCTCGCAGGGAGAGCAACTGTACTTCTGGCACCAGCCATCTGACTTGGTGAGTGTCTTGTTACATGTTAAGGGTCCATACCTACTGACAGCCGTGGTCTGTCTCTCAGACTCACTCTAGACCACTGTAGACTCACCAAAGACCTGGTTACCAATTGCTGCAGCCATGTGTTTTACTTTGCAATACTAGGGGACTACTTACTCTCCAGCCTTTTATGTTCACAGGTAACTGATGCTTTTGCTCTTCCTAGGTCCTGTCTGATGTGTTCAACACCCCAGTATACACTATCGATACCGCTAACTCTGCCTGTCTTGGCTGTGCTTACAGAGCAATTCATGGTAAGCTTGCACTGAAAAGCAGTCTGAGCGCCCTGTTTGTTAAATTTCCATATAACCAATTTCCATGATTTCAGTTAAAGATCAGGCCCAGTTACAGTGGGTGCATTGACATGTGAAATTAGTGTGATTTAATAAATGCCACCACAGTTTGTGCTGGAGTTTATTGCTCCTGGGTGCAGTGTTTACATGTGCACCTGGGACCGCAGCACATTGAGCTGGGTTGGAGCAGCCCCAGCTAGCAGGGAGCCCAGGGGGTCAGCCTGCCAGCCTGGGGCTCCTCTGCCCTGGCTCCGTGTGCTGCAGAGGGGCTGGCTGGGGCATGAAGGTACTACAGTGCAGGGCTAGCTGGCAGGCAGCCCTGCATTGTAGCACCCTCATGCCCCAGCCAGCCCCAGTTACCATCTACGCATGCATTATGGCAGAGTAAATAACTCCGTTGTAGAATAGTGCTTGTCTTGAGCAGCACTGCCGAGCTAGTTTACTGTGGCCTAATACCACCGCGTGTGTAGACAGTAATGCTTTACTGTGGAGCTAATTAGGCAACTCTGCAGTAAGTGTCTTATGTAGATGCCTTATTGTGGGAGAGCAATTGGAGCTTAACTAATTTTTACTGTAGAATCCAGGGTTGGGATCTGTGGGGCAGAGAGTCTGCTTGGTGGAGGATTGAAGATGCAGCAGCACAAACTGCCTGCAACCACCTCTCAGCCAAGGGTGGTGCCTAGTAGTGCCTGAGACCAGCTGAGGAGGGCATGGAGCCTTGGGGTGCTGATCTTCTAACTGCAGAGACTCTCTTACTAATTAAAGCTCCTCTTCCCTTCCTGAATCCACAAGGCCTAGCAATAATTCTGGCGAAATGGGAAGCATTAAAATCAACCTGCATCAATCTTGCAACTTTTTAATGACAAAACAACTGCCAGAATGTACAAGCTGCCCTGAGCTCCACATTCAAGCTGTGTGCACTTCATGGTGTAAAATCATAAATCTCTGGATGTTCTTAAGTGTGTTCAGCCATTTCATTTACTGCAATACATCACTAGTTATAATGCAACAGCCAGAGTCCCAGAAGGAAAGGTGTTAATTAATTTATGTGTATTGATGCAAACACTTGTATGTTAATGATAGCTTCTTAGAGGTTTAATAGAGTTGAATCCCAGGAAGCTCTTTCTCCTTCAGGTATTTTAAAATGCTTTAATAGATCATGACATGAGTTCTTGAATATTTTACTGAACGAGTTAACAAATATGAGCCAGATCCTGAAGCCCTTATTTGGGCAAATTCCCCTGGGCCCCACATGGGTAGTTTTGTCTGTTTAAAGATTTCTGAAATAAATGAATAGGCCTTCTGCTGGTTCAGAGAGGGTGTGATGTTGAGACAGAAGTCTGGCAGAGACAGCAGAGGTGACCACAAAAACATCCGAGTTTTAATTTTAGAAGCAAATTCTGCCTAGGATACATGGTGCAGCCTCCATCGACTGTACTCTTGTATCTGGAGACAGAGCAGAAACTCCGTGTAGCAGAGAACCTGAGTCAGTGATTTTAACATACAAAATGTTCATTTTATTTCTTTAAAAAAAAAAGCTGCAGTGGGTAGTGGAAACAACGGCATCAGATTATCAGCAGGAGCAAAGCATGCTGAGAACACTTCTGCATTTATAGGAATCACATCTCCCAATCTAACTCCAGTCTTGTTCAGAATTTGTCCTCCACTTCAAAGTCAACCCGAACCATTCCAATACCTGCTGTGCTGCAGGCAGCTTCTTTGCCAAGGACTGCAACTTGATGTGTACAGCCTCCATGAAGATATGTGCAGTTCATTTCATACAGCTAGGAGATGGGGATTCCCTGTCACTGTTGTAGTTGTGTTTGAAATCTTTGCTCAAGTCCTTTCTTGACCAAGTCCCTGAGGCACGCTGAGCGTGGTTTTAAATGGCACTTTTGATTGATGCAGCTCAGCTGCCTTGGCCGGGTAGAGGGATTGTGTTCAAGTGAAGACTTGCTAATATAAATGAAATATTGATGGCCATTATAATTTATATCTGCAAATACAGGAATCCACAGTTGGTCCAGGGTTTTTGGCAGGAGTAACAAAGAACACCTGAAATGCCGTACTTTACTCTGTAAGGCAAAGTGCCTCAGTAATTGGATTCCCTCTGATTATACAGCTGCCACGTATGTCCTTATATTTTAATCATTAGTTGCAGCATGGTTTCTTGATATTTTTTCATGCTGCGCCTCTGTGTTTTTTAGGGTGTTTGTCCTTGAATCTCTTCCTCCTCTATTTCCACTGCCTTTTGCTGTATTATTGGTGTCCAGAATGATTTCTGATATTGTTGAACCTGCATCTCTGCTGCTGGTCTATTCTCTCGAGTACAAATTGAATGATTGACAAAAACTCAATCTTGGGAGTCCCCACTTCCTGACTAGTGCATTGGCATGTAAGATCTTTGCCATTTATCCTTCACTTTTGAATACTGACCTGACCAGGGAGAATCAATATAATGTATTAATTTGCCTGTGAGTCAAGGCACATCCCTTATCTTGTTTTTGTGTATTGATCAGGATTGCGATTCTCATTGCAGGGCTGGTGGCAGAGACAAGCGTGTCCTTGGCTGATGTTGTGAAATTAGCACCAGCACCTAGATTAGTTGTTACACCAGCTGCTGGGGCTGATGAGGTGAGTGGGCTTTGCAGTGTTGCCATTTTTCATTTTATTTCCTGCATACTTCAAAGTGTAATGGCTGGTATTAATATTTTTCAGTGAAATGAATGAATTTAGGAGTTGTGTTAATCTAGCATGTATCCTTGTTATACATATAAGGATTATATGTTATAAGTTATATATATAAGGATTGATTTGGGAGATCCTTGCTATAATGACCTTTATAATGCTTAAGTGATCACTACTTCCAATCTGTAAGAGTGAATCGCCCTAAATGGATCTGGCAGAGAGCAAAATCTTCCTTCAAGGAGAGAAAAGGTTATAGTTCAGGTTTAATGCCAAGGCTGGTCAGTCAGGTCCCAACCGTTAATTGACAAAATAGTCTTAATTTGCCTGCAGGCAGCTGACACTGAGACAGGTGTGAATGGACTTGTTTTCTCCCATTGGAAAACATCAGAAAAGATCTCTTCCAGCCTGGTCCTTAACCTTGATCCTCAATTACTGATGAGAGGAACACACATCTTCCCTGATAGCTTTCAGTCTGAACAGCCAAATGATTACTAACTGTGAAGAATGCTCCCTCTAACAAGTTTTCTCTACAGACATCCTTTAATGTTCCCTGTAAAAAATTAAGCTAGTGTTAAGCAGGTAACAGGATTTCATAGTTCATATAAACTGTGGCAAAGCTCGTCTTTGGGACTTCTAATGTCCAATAAAGGCAGTTTTTTCCAGCTGAAGTTCCAAAAAGCCTTAACTTTATTAGAGTTTCCTATGCATAATTTAACATTATATAATAAATCAACAGTATGCAGCAAGAAACCTAGCTAATACTATTTTTAGTTGTAGCTGTCCTGAATCTAAATATCTTCAACATCCACTCATTTCAATTGCCCGCAAACATCTAGACAGCCATGAATCTTGCATTAAAAACCAGATGCACAGTAACTGCAGACATTCAGGCTTTAGAGCTTTTATTTAAATTCTTGGGAACTACTGATCCACAAAATTTCCACCTAAATGGGTGGAGGAATACCAGGCGGGACCAGACATAATGATGGAGAAGTGATCGTGCTGCATCAGTACTTACTAGTAATTTTAATTCTTAAACAGTGTGAGATTATGGCAATCTAATACACGCCCCTTTCAGAAATACTAAAAGTCAGGAACTTAAAACTGCATGATCTGATTTTGCTTACTTGATTGCCTGATATCTTTCCCAAATTTTTAAAAAAGATAAATTAATATTGGAGAGCCCTGCTCTGGCTTTTGTCCCTAGAGATATGACTTTGAGGAACACTTGAAAGGGCACAGGGCTGTCCTCCATGCAAAACGTAGCTCTTCTTACTTGTGTGAATTGGGGCAGGGTCATTATTTTAGGCACACCTCCTATTTAGTACCACCCCCCTTTGCTGTGAAGTTTGAAGTTTTGAGAATGCAGTTACCTCTTACAGAAGTGCAAAAGGAGGAACATAGTCACAGCCTAGCTGGAAATAACAATGGCAAATTCTTCTGCCTCTTTTCCATTTACTCGCATCCAAATAGAGTGGCTGGGAAGCTAAGAAGAGTTAATTATCTCTGTCTCAATGCTCTTCTTCTGCTTTTTTCCACTTGGTTAGACCTGGCTCCCCTCACTCATTTTTTTTATTGGATATGAAATGACATGGAGGCTGTGAATTATTGCCTCAATTGATACTGAGTGCATGATAGAGAAGGTAGTGACCAAGCGGCAGGCTGAAGAATAACCATTTCTGCACTTGGGTTTTATGTCCCAGCTGCATCCCATTAAAAACAGCTTCTTGCAATTACAAATTCCACACCAATTTCCTTCTCCCTGTCCTGTAATTTTACAGTTGATAGTGGATTCCCTGGCTAGTTTCATGGCTGTGAAACTGCAGAAAGCCAGAGGGCCTGTCAGTAATACAGTGTGTTAGCATGCACAGTGCAGTAAAAATTCATAATGTGATGAGTCAGTTTGGTTTGGGTTTTTTTGCAGGGCTGCATCTCCCTGTCTGTCCGATTTCATTCTGTCGAGTTTAGTGGCTTTTGCTTAAATGACGGTTCTTTTTATAAACTTCAAAGTCACCCTGAGGTTAAGATCTGCCGCACTCAAGGAGCTCTTGTAAGGCAGCCTGGCTAACCGAAGTGAAGTTGCCCCGATCACTTCCCTTCGTGATCATGCAAGGGCCAGACCTCGGCAGCAGAGGGAGAAACAGGTCAGAGCTCAGGAGTCTGGTTTGGTTTCATCCTTCCTTTGACTCAGGTTTTCAGCAGCAGGCACAGGTCCTGGGAAGGAGGAAACCTGATTGCGGATGGAAGTGAAACACTACATCTGAGTTCATTTAAATCCTGAATAGGAAGGTCTGTGTACATACAGTGGAACCTGGTTCCTCCTGTTGTAGTATGCTTAGGTTCCCCTGTGGATGTGAAGGGTGTGGGAAGGTCATTTGACACAGAGTCATTTGCCCCTTATAGGTAATGCTTTGTTACATTACCTGTACAGAGGCTGAGGATCATCTGCAGTCTTTGCACTTACTTAAATGCAAGAGCCTGTGGGTTTAATGTTGCCAGCTATACCAAAGAGGAGGAGGTGAGCTCAGGACTGGCCTATTCTTAGGCACTGGCTTGTGTCCCTTCTGGTAATTAGTGGTAACAGCTGGCTCCCCCTGCATTGCTAGGGGGTCTGAGGCCTGCCATGATCCCTGTGTCTCTGCATCACTCCTGGACTGCTCGGGCAAATGAGACACAGAGAGCCATTAAACTAAGAACATAGCTCTTGCAAGAGGTAGTGGGTTAATAATGGAAGTCCCTTAAGGAACAGCTGTCATAGCACCCTTGCGAGCATCCCTTACAGGACACCACCCAGGTTGGGAGGGACCATTTCTGAGGGGATGAATCATTCTCCGTAGTCCAAATCATGAATCTCTCTTACCTAGTAACCCTGTAGTGTAAAACAGCTTGCCACTAGGCCTACTTCCCATGAAATAGGTGATGGAACAAATTCATAAAATATTAGAAAATGTGGTAACCTTTGGTTACTACCTACCTAGGGTGAACTCAACACACTAGAGAGGAGATCTGATGAGCTATTTGCCTATCTTAAAAATAAAGGAAACTTACTTCCTTCAGAGCTCTTAAGGAAGAAGATTAATCAGAACCACTAGGCATGACAGAAATAACCAGGAGACCTTCTAACAATAAGTATATGCTAACAGACAGTAAGAATCCATTATTACGGCATTAAAATGCAGCTCTATTTTAGTAATCTATTAAAAGCAGAGATGCTTGGCTTGTTAGTTAATTAAGCAAAAAGGCATAAGAGGGAATATGATTATCTGGAGATAATCACATCTCTGGTGTTTTTACAAGCCATGTACCTATGAAGTAGTGTAAGATTTGTTTTAGTGCCATTGTGCAGGGAAGCATTGGAAGGATGCGGTGCAGTCCACTATGCTGAAGCTGTATAGCTTTTAATTGTGTCCTCTGTTCCATTCATAAATTTTGGATAGATCCAGTCCTTGTTGGCTGTTATAATACATTAGAGGGGTGTGGTAATGGAGCAGCTTGTATTGTTGACTATATTATTATCACTAACTATAGTATTTTTCACCCAGAAGGCCCTCCATTGTGCCAACTACTGCCTAAATAAGGGAGAAGAAAATACCCCCTGCTGTAGAAAGTTCACAACCTAATTTTGGGATGAGGTGCAGCAGGAGGATGAAGTGTGGGTCAGAGAGCAAAGACAGACTTCAGATTAGAATAGATAACTACCTGTCTCAGAGTGTCAGAGTCATTTTAATCCTAAAATGAGTTTATTTTGCATCAAAGACAGTAGACTTAGTCTGAACTGATCCTGTACTGTACTATAACAGTTTATTATTGTGGTATTTTTATGAAGTTGTTGAGCCCTGGGAATGTGAGAGACTGCCAGGGGGTGCATCTACACATGCTATTAATGTGAAGCAATAAACTCTGGTGCAGTTTGCGCCGGAGTTTATTGCTCCTAGGTGCTGCATTTAAACGTGTGTCTGGGACCACAGCATGTTGAGTTGGGTCAGAGCAGCTCCAGCTGGCAGGGGGTCTGGAGTGGGGAAGGGGGTTTAGCCTGTCAGCCTGGGGCTGCTCCAACCCAGCCTAATGTGCTGTGGAGGCACTAGGGGCACTAGGGTGCTATGTTATGGGGCTAGCCAGCCCCATCAGCATCTACATGTGCATTGTGGTGCATGAAATAATGCGACCATAGGATAGTACTTGTAAACACCCTACGGTGATGTTTATTAGTTTACTGTGGCCTAATAGGGTCACACGTGTAGAAGCTGAGACTTTACTGCAGAGCTAATTAGTCAGGTCTGCAGTAAACGTCTTGTGTAGACTCCCCCAGTGCGCAGCCAAATAATCCCAGTGATGAAATCTAGAGTTTGGCATGGCAGCTCTCAAAGCCATGCCTAAGGATCACTGTACTGCTGCAGAGTTGGCTCTAAAGATAAGGAAGAGGGTGGGCAGTAAGAAAGTGAAGACAACATAGGCAAATAATGAGCTTCATGTTGTGATACGTGTGATTGCTTTTGTTTAATATTATGCTTTGAGACTGTGACAAAGAGGGAATTTATGTTCCGGCATGTTTATGCGTCCGTGAGTGTTCTTGATTTCTGTTGGGCCTTGGTTATAAAAAATAAACCTCTATAATTAATTTCAGGAGGATTTTTCTGAAGGCAATTAGGGGGCTTTATCAGCACCGATCTCAATAGAATGGAAGTACTGGCTGCAGAAGGAATAATCCTCTGCGGGCGCCTCTACACGAGATGTTTACTGTGCAGTTGACTAATTAGGTGCACAGTAAACATCTCAGTGTCTGCACGTGTGGAGTCTGGAGTAAACTAATTTACTCCTCAGCAGGATAGTACTTGTAAAACACAAAACAAAACTCCACAGCATCGCATGTGTAGACACTGCCTGACTGGTGGGACACGAGGGTATTTCAGTGGGGGGGCCCCCTGCCAGCGAGCCTCACGCTGAAG